TTGTAAACTAATAGATGAGACAGATATACTGAGTTCTTATATGATGTGTGAAAAAGCATTTCTATAGATACATCATATATATATATACTTTGTGTTCTGCAATTTTGTTTTAACAATCAACCAAAAACAGCAAACAAACAGAATAACAAATGGTATTGAGTAGTTAGAGTGAACAGAAATAAAGCATTTGCTTTCTGAACTTCAATTACACAAAATCATTCAATGCTTTTGAAGGATTTTGTGTAATAATAATAATCCAACACAATTATGTTCTCCCTTTTATCTAGCCAATATTTACAACGAATATAAATTATAGAAAATTTTAAGTATCATATAATAAAGTGAAAATTTAACTCGGGTGTAGAAAATCTTAAGAAAAAATAAAAGTCAAAATTTGGCCAATTAAACAAAAATTTATATGTAAACACAATAGAGAGCATATTTATGTTTTTATACTAGGATTAACCGTCGTTTATAAGAGTGACGTTTTATGTTAGGTGTTGCTGTCTTTGAAACTACTTCCTCCATTGGTGATCGCGTTCATTTTGATAGCCACGATTACTCATTATTCTCTGATACCGAAATTTCCATTATAATAAGTTTCTGCAAAGAATGACGAGGTTAATCTTAGACCACACGTCTTGAGAAAAGTTTCACAGACTCTCGACTTTACCTGAACGTACACTTGCAAGTGTCTCAAGTGTTGTTAACTGAATGCAGAACAACTATATTTTACAGGCAATCAATATCCCAAGACTGTACGTAAACAGATCGAAGGCACAAAAGTCCATTGGAACTGAATTTGGGACTTGACGGATATGTGGTCGTTTGATATTGTTGAGCTTTCAATTTATTCGGCCCATTTTATTTTTATCCCTAATGAAATTTATCGTTGATTTCGACGTTTGGCTTGAAGCTTGTGAATTTTGGCTTATGGTATTGACATTTTCAACTTGAACGGTATCTTATGCGCAAATGGGTTAAACAATCAGGTCAGGCACCCTAGGTTCAGATATAGTCGTCTGTAATTTTGAGCTGCTGGTCAGAAGGGAGGTAGTCATTCAGCAGCGCTTGCCGTCACAAAGGGTGTTTTTTCGGCTTTGACTGAATAATAGGTTTGAGTGATACTCTTATAACGTACCTACGGCCGAGACCTTTCTATCCAAAGCCAGGCATGCCAAACACCAAGCTACTTTTGGCTTGTGGAATCTTCTTAAGCTTAAAATAATTGTTTGTTATTTTGCTACCACTAGTAATTGATATGATGATCTTCATTGCAATGGCTTTTTAGATCTTTGTTGTAACAATAGCCACTTTTCTAAAGAAGATGTTGTTTTGGGTTGGCTTAGTGTATGGTTGCAGAGCCCATTACTGCACGAGTTATTCCTCTTCCATGGATAACAATGAAAGATTACTCACTGACTTTACATTTTTATAAAAATCTCGCTATAAGATTATCCTTTCTCTAAAGCTAAAGTGACATAATCCTCTATATCCTCTATGATGGTTGCTCGAGCGAACTCACTGTGATCCAACTATATAGGTGATAAACATGTCGCCCTTGGCGTCAAGGCTCACATCTGTGGCGGCACATCACTATTTTAGTATACGTAAATCATATATATATACTACAGTTGTGAAATAATGCCGTGTATATTGCTAGTTACCCACAGTAGATTGTTGTGAAACTGAGGCATCTGATTATTAGTCATCTGATCTTAAATGCAAACGGTAGGTCATTCGGGTTAATTTTTGATAAATTATCGTAATTATAATGGTTTCAAAAAAATCTTATCTCACATACATACCATTTGGGGAAAAAAAAATCGCAGAACTTAAAGTGCTTCAAATCTTAAATCATGGTTAGACCATAAATAAAACATGAGGACTTTTCACTCATGTAGAGAAACATCATATTGGCTGCAAGTGTCTCAAGTGTTGTTAACTGAATGCATAACAGCTATCAAAACAATGGTACATTTGCTGACAACACAATATTAGAAACGGACTTAAAGAGGTCGATCTATATGTCAATTAAATATAGTCTTCTTTTATGCCAAAGTAGAAAACAATTGCAATGGTATCAATAACATGCTCAGGGCATTATTAATACGTGGACCAATTATTATTTTTAGAAATCTGTCACCCTTTATCCTTCAGTCAGATAAAAGACGTATACTCATTTGTAGAGGATGTAGAATCATACCCATCGCAAAATTTCATGAAGGAATGTAACTCAAAAGTACTTTTCTACACTTCAGTAAACAACTGAAAAACTTGGAAAATACAATAGTTCAGCTATGACAAGGTAAAAGCATTGTTGTAAAAACATGTCATTCACTACCTCTTCAGTTCATTTTCAAGTCAGTTAAGCATCTGATGCTCAGCCATATAACCTGAAATGCAAATAATTGACCATCCAGTTAACTCTTGAAAACAAACGCTTGAAAGTGGTAGATTTACGGTAATCACTTTATAATATTTCACTGAATTGCAGAGCATAATCGCTGCAAATTGTAAAACCAGTCTGGGACCAACGTTAGATTTTTAAAATGAGACTATTACTAAGATCCTTGGATAACTAAGACTCCTTTGAAAGAGTTTGTAATCGATGTATCTTATTATTTGGAGTCACTTAACGGGATGGAACGCTTTCCCTAAAAACACCCTATGCATGCTTGTTGTAACTGAAGTTCAGTTAAACGTGCAAGACACTCCGGTTGGTCAATTTTCTCTTTTTCAAAATGAGTCAAGCATTTTAGAACAGATTGGGTAGATGATGCCATCCATTAAGCTACTGGGTCGTGGAATGTAGCTAACAAAGAGTGACATTAATATCATTAATCCACAGGATATATAGGTCAGTATAGTTGACAATGTTTATTCATGACCACACTATACTTTAACCATCGATATACCATTCAAATTCTGAGAACGGTTAACATTCAAGATAGAATGGAAAAACAGACACTTTCATTACTTCTCAATCAATTGCAAGTTCCATTTACAATCACGATCGTTGACGTTTTCTCCGTCGCAATTATCAAATCACTCGATTTATTCAAAATCACAATAAATACTTTTCATGAAATTCATAAACATTCACCCGCAGATCCATAACAATAACCAGTCCTTTCCAAAATATCAAGAAGTATTTTGCCACACACAAAAATTTATAAAGAGATATTATCTCCACAAATATTGTTATCTATACTTAGAACCCAAACCTTCATGCCATTATTACTTTCTTTATCTGAATACATTAAAATTTCTTTAGAATCACAAAATCGTCCTAAATATTTATAGACACACAAAGTTTACCCTAATTTACAAGTCATTCAATTAGTTTACATATCTTTTGATAAACATATTATATTCCAATAACAACATTATGCCTTCGACACCTTGAGTTAATCAGACCTCCTAACAATTAAAACTATATTTTCTTCCACAGTTGACACAAACACATCTTCTCCCAATTAGTATAAAGTATCTTAAGCATCTGAAGAAAATGATATGTCTTCAGCAAAACAATAATAAGCAGAGGGTTAGTCATACTTTACGAGAAAGATTTAAATACACTAAATCGCTAAATATTGGCAAGCTGGGACACTATGGACACTATTCAGAATTTATATATTTAGTTCCCGGCAAATTTCTGGCCAATTGACCATGAAATGTCACCACAGTTAATCTTATGGTTGGAGAAATATAAAAACACTTGCTAAAGAGAAAATATAGAGGGCGAGATTATTGAATAATTTAGAGCCAAAGGACTGGCATTTCATGGAAGAGAACAATCAGTGTTCACCAAGTAAGTAAAAAATTTGCATAAAAGAACTTTTAAAACTGCCGAAAACACAGTGCAATCCAATCTGGAGTTAATTCATCAACTTAAGAAAGCCATTGCAATGAAGGTTGGCATATCTACTGATACCAATAACAATATAATAAATAAGGATTTAACGTTGACGAAATTTCACCAGCCACAAATGCCACACCTTGATATCAGCAGCAGTGTTCTTTGGAAAGATGACTTAAAAAAATGGAATTATACCATCTACGGCAAAAGATCCCAATGCAGTTTTAATGGATTTTGTACCTCCGGTATCCTTCAATGTGTTATTGGAGTATTACGTTCATGCACGATGGACGAGCTATGAAAATTAGAGATTGACCTCGTCACTCTTTGCTGAAACTTCTTACAATGGCTTTCGATATCAGACAATAGTACATGATCGTGACCATCAAACTGAGCACGAAATACGAAGAAGGCAGCAACGGACCTGAAAATTTTGGTTATAAAGTACAATTAACTTTAGTATATCACACAAATTGAGTACCAACATCATTTCTCAGTCACTATTGTATACCTTCTATACCTTAAAACAATCACAGCTTGTCGCAAACATAACAATATACCTTCCACAATCTGAGACATCAAATCTATTCTTAGCCATAACACACTTTCCATACTTAGGGACTGTCAGATCTCTTCAAGAGAACAACGCATTTTCTATATTTGAATACATATATATATACGTCTTCGCAAGCACAACAACAACAACAATAATGTATGTACGTTATATATATATATATATCCGGAGACAATTAGTTGTTTTTTTCACAACCACAACAATATACTTTTTTATAGCTGTAGAAAACTACATCTGTTGTATGCCAGAACAATAAATATTTTTTTAAGTCTTTTAAGACACGATTCTATTCTACAGTAGTCATAATAATAGGCGTATTATACTTTGAAAAACAAAACAAAAACATGTTTCTTGTTAAACACAACAATACATATGTATATTATATAGCCAAGGTATTCTTATGGTAAATTAATATTAATAATAAACAATTACTTTCCGTCACAATCAAATCAATGCACTTTCAAAGTTGGAGAATGTTGAATTTTACCACAGTTGTGATATTAAATAACATGCTTAGTAACATACATTACTTATATGCAAATTAACGTATACTCTAATTCTTACCTGCCAACTAGGATCAGCATTTTTGTAATACATAAAGTTCTCCCTTATCCACTTGTAGATCGAAGATAGTGTCATTTTGTTTTTATTCGCCTTCATTGCCATACAGATAAGTGTAGCATATGAGAATGGAGGCTTCACAGATCCGTTCGTCTTGTAATCAATTTCTTCATCACCTTTATCTGTTTTCCATCTGGCGTCGTCACAACCAGACTTATTGTCCCCCTTAGGGTCCAAGAGGGGTACGGGGCTAGCAGGAGGTGTAGGAGGTGTAGGAGCCCCAAGCTTGGTCATGATATTTAGATTCTGTAGCCAGTTTAAACTGGTTAATCCATCGTCTACGTGAGGTGAAGTTCCTTCAGACACATCGTCCTCTGGGTTTTTAGCCTTCCAATTTTCTTGGAACCGCAGCGCTACCTCGTCCTTGGACAGTGTCGTGGTTGTAGGATCCATGACTTTAGACAAACACTAAGCAAGAGCACTTGATGGGACGGATGTATTCATATCTGTAAGTTAGTAAATAATAAATCTGTGTGTGGCATATTACACTTCAAATTAACAATACAGCAAAACTACACTGACAGGTCACTGTTCAGTTATCAAGTCTATCTTTTCTATGTTCAATGCAAAATGTCAACTTGCTCTTTCTTATCCCACGTAAATATATTCGTTCTAATAAATAGTTAGGGTTATGATAATCCGTTCAAAATGGCTATAGAAGTAATGCTTCTACATTAAATATTGACCGTATTTATTTTGTTTTGTCACTAATCGCTAATTTTCTTCTTTAACAACGCAGACACACGTGAGTGCAACTATGAGTTGCAGCTAGTTAACTAAATATTTTCCTTTTAACACAGACTGCAACATAATGTAAAAGTAGTTGTTTTACGTAGCAGGTCAATTATACACGTTTCTGTTTATTAATTTGCATAATGAGGTCATAGTATAACTTACGTGCCTTCTTGAACACGTATATGACAGGGTCAAACCAAACGTTACAGTTAAATAAACTCTTAACAAAATCGCAATTCTTACAGCTAAGCTTTATACATTCATTACCTTCTCTACAACAGCCAAGTATTTTATTTTATGAAAACACAGTTATATCAGATATTATAACAGAAGAGATTAAGAATATATAGATATTGGAAATTGCAAAAGTCCTAAAATTTTCAGCATAAAGACAACAGTGAGAAATGAAACGTGATTTCGTAATCTTACAACATATTATTATTTTGTTATGAATTTTAGTTGTGGAATTTAATTCTTTCCTGCGGTACAGTTTATCGAATACAATTTTACGGGTAAAGTTGGAAGAAATCTCTTGAAAAAGTGTTCGTGTCTTAAAAATATATATACCTACTTTTTAAGTACAGCTAGAAGTTATAGTTTTATAATACATAACAGGGAAAATAATTAATTATTTTTCTTAATAAGTCAAATTGTAGTGAACGCTTAGAAACTCAGCCATATTAAGGGCAACAGTGTAAAATTATACATACAAGCAGATTTTCAGGCCTTTGTAGTGGACAAAGATTAATATTATACATATTAGTTTCCTTCTTTGAAAGCCACACGTTCGTGCAGAGAGACTTCGCTGTGGTAACCAGTTAGGTACTTCTGTTATTGTCAAAAGTTCTCTTAAATCCTGATGGTCTTTACAACCTGTAACATTAACGACAAACACGTTTATACTGTTACACGCCATCAGGTTATGTGTTTGTTCTGTCATCCAGGTCTTACACCCACTTTTCCATTTGTTTTATCGTGGAGTAGTAACTGTTTGATGCTAGAAACCCCGTTGAGTTTACATCAGTTTCGTGACAGAAGCCTGAACATCAGGACTCTCTTTAGTTTCGTGATTTACATAGGTACTGTAAGAAATGTCAACCATTTTATTTAGACATCCATTCATCAATGTTAACTATTTGTTGTTGAACAACCCAAAAATTACGACTTAAACGCGTTCGGTCAATGTTACTGAAATTAACTCTCGGCTAGCTTGTGTGTTGTTATAATACCAATATTTGGTTTTATTATAGTCATGCTGTTGATAGTCATATGTAACTTATTTCAGTTGTTTTCAAGCTGGGTGGAGTAAGTTACGATAATAACCTATGCCAATCGAGTCTCAAATAATCATCCATTATTTCTAGGCTTCCTTTAACAAACTGAAATGAAAACTCACTAAAACCACACGTACATTATCATTTAAATGAAAGATGTTGCATTTCCTGATACTACAACTCCTGCATATTGATGTTATCGTATTAAACGCACATTAAGTTACTGTATTAGATCGATTACGTTGTTTTTGTAAATATCACCTTCCAAGCTCAAAAGTTCTTAATAATCTCCACATTGGTTAATGTTATGTCATATCGCTCACTTTTGGCTATTCGTATCCTACATTAAAATATGCTATAATATTCTTGAGTGACTAATTTTTTGTTTACTAAACTTATGTTTATAATTACGTTTCAATACAGCGCTTAATCAGACTCTTGACTGATACTTAACCTGTTTTATTTAAGGTTTCGAGGACTGACTAATTGTATACTTAGACCATTTATTATATAATCAGATACTCAACAATACACATATGGTATTTTACGACATAATATTTACCATAGTCTTCCCAATAGAAACGACTATCCTACATTCAATTAAAATTTGATTTAATCAAAACAAGTATAAGTAAACCTCATACGTATTTGCAGTTCGTAAAAAATACAGATTAGTGTTAGTATTTGTTATTTCATGTTAATACCCAACTATTCCAAAAATACGGAATGGTTGTTTTGTGGATGATGACGTATGTTTCAAATTGTATTTACTCTGTATACATTCAGTGAAGACGTAATTAAAACGAAAACTTTCTGGAATTCGCTTTAAAATATTTAACAGACAATCATTAAAAATTTACATAGTTAAGGAAAGGAAAATGGCATTGTTGGAGGATGATATGTTAAATTTTCGTTAGTTTATCTATTTCTTGACATATTTTTAAACCAAGCAGCTTCAAATTGCTCATGGGTTATAGAACGAAGAAAGCCAATATCAGTAAAATATATAATGAGTTCATAATTTTTTAATTTATTATATATTTTTCAAAGTGATTTTATAATGTTGAACTAATATTTCAACCATTCATTATCACAAACACTCTCTGTCCGGTTTTCTTCTGACAAAAATGTTGGATTATACACATGAAATCTAAATAAATATAATAGTATTGTCTGTTATATATCCATGTAACTATTTCGCAGGGTGTGGATGAGTCTTCACCAAAATTGGTATGGAGGTTCACTAGGTCCATGCAAAGGTACATGCACATTCTCAGTTTCGCGTTTTTTACAAGTACATCTAAGGGAAGCAACTTTTCATGTCCTAAGATAACCTTTCATTAGTCATGAATTTACATAACTTCCAGGGGACGGGTACTTTGGCTAGTAAGGTAATAATAGACTGCAAGATGTTAAAACATAATAGAAAAGCTTAAAAGATCTTAAAATCACGTTGACTATACTATAATAACCTAAAATGTGTTTGTTTTTACATTGGTTTTACATTTCTAATTGTTCCATTTAAATCTTTTACATAAACTTGGCTTATTTCGCATTAAGTACATCGTATATTATGTTTGTATATATCTCTCATATTCAGTTTGTTTATTATGAACTTCAGGCAAAGCTACACTAGGGCTATCTGCGCTAGCCGTCCCTAATTTAGCAGTGAAAGACTACAGGGAAGGCAGCTAGTCATCACCACCCACCGCCAACTTTTGGGCTATTCTTTTACTAACGAATAGTGGGATTGATCGTGACACAATAACGCCATCACAGTGTGAGGGAGATTCGAACCTGCTACCTACAGATTACGAGTCAAGCGCCTTAACCACCTGGCCATGCTGGACTCTCATAGTTAGTATTAAACAGTGCTCTACTTTCTGATACCTTACCGTCTTTCCAGTATTTTTACAGTTGATATTGCAAGACGAAATCAGTAAATGAACAAACTGTAACAAACTTTACTGAAAAATATTTAGGAGAACTGTTTTTCTACTGAATGATTCAATATATCCACAAGTTCGAACATTGTATCTATAAGGTAAGCTGACGTTTGCTGTTTGTGCAAAACAAACTGAATAACATTACACTAAAAAGCTGACCAGGAAACCTATACGGATGTAAAAAATACACATACATTTGGTATTTGACGAAAAAAAAGTCAAATTCATAACTGGATGCTGTTAATCGCAAAACTGTCCCCCGGTAGGACAGTGGTAAGTCTTCAGATTTACAAACCTAAAATCATGGGGGTTCGATTCCTCTCGGTAGACACAGCAGATAGCCCGATGTGACTTTGTTATAGGAAAACATACATAAGCACAAAACTACACAATGGGCTATATGTGCTCTGCTCACCACTGGTATCGAAACCTGATTTTTAGCGTCGTAAGGCTACATACTTACTGCTGAGCCACTAGGGGACAGTTATAACTCTTAATTCAAGTATATTTATTGATAAATTCATAATACCATTGCATTGCTAAGACAAATGAAACTTAACACTACATTTCAACATGCCATAAAAATAAAGTGGTGAGTGTATATTAAATTACAATTAAGTTTCAGTTGCATATCTGATGAGCATATGTTAAACTACTATTAAGTTTTAGTTGTGAATCTGGTGAGTATACATTAAGTTGTGAGTGCCGTCGCAAGCCATTTCCTTCATTTTTCAGCCCATCACTGCTTTGCGCCAGGGGCGTCTGCCCCGCCCTAGCTACGACTCTGACGTTAAACTACGATTAAGTTTTAGTTGCCGGTTTTGTGAGTATATGTTAAAGTACTATTAACTTTTACTTTCCAGTCTGGTAAGTGAACGTTAGACTATGACCTATGATACAAAAACAATGCTATTATATAGTAAGAGCACGTGCGATGCAGTACTGGTTGTGTAAATTAAAAGAAACGTAGTTTATCCTGGGTTTAATAATCGATATTAGATGCTACAGCAAAGTTTCATTTTACATGAGGTGTAACACAGATGTACATTGATCAGAATACAAAACCAGAGTTTAGCCCATTGACTGCGACTGCTCTAAACGCGCGCGGAGTTTTTGCAATCCATACACCGTATACGGCATTCAACTGCCGGAGGCGGTCCTATCTTACACTGCGAATCAGCAGTCAATGGGTTAGAACAGTTATTCACTAAACGACAAGAAAAACTGTATTATTCAACAGCAAACCATATCTTTATAGGTTTCTATAATTACATTTATCTGAAATAAAATGATATTTATAAGTTATAAAGTAGTTCATAGTTCCCGTATTTTTCACCATGTGACTTGCAAAACTTTTTAAAAGTTTGAAAATGTAAGCTATCGAATTGAAAAGCCCAGTATTTATATATCGATAATCCCTAAAGAATTATGGGTCTTGCAGTTTGGAAGTATGTGAAATAATATAAAATACTATAGTAACAAGCCTGGCAT